TTTTATTAGGCTATTCACTTCCCCTCTAGCCATTAGACCTTTCAGGTGCGCGTGGCGCCCGTTGCACGCCACCATGGTGCCCCATATGACCATATCCTCCCACGTTAGATGCCGTGTATGTTGCAGAGTCCTATGTCGCCTGTCTTAGATGGCAGTTAGGACGCAGACATAGTTCATGGACCTAGACAAAAAAAAAGTTCATGACCTGGATGAGAAGGGGGAGAAGTTTAAAGACCCACAACGCAATTCATTCTAATTTTTCCATATGAAGTAGGATGAAAACAAACTTTATACAAAAATGTAGATCGGGATGTGATCTATAGCTTTATACTTGATAAGGTTTTTTTTATTTGAAATTGTTTCTCTCAAAAAATTGATTTAAGTTCTTGGATTTTGAAATTTTAAATTTGTAATATTGAAACAACCTCGGATATTAACATGGTCTACACCAAAGTTGTATTCTCAATAAAATCTATATTACTTTGTAGTTAAAAAGTTTTAGCACTATAAAGTTAGTATAGACTTCGAATGCCTTCAGGCCAATTCCTCTTGGTTAACCGGGCTGCATATAGTAAGCAGTGGTTGTCGATTGGCCACATGAAAACTTTATTTTTAACCAGATTTTGGTAGACAACAATGCTTCACTTGGCTTTCGTGATTGCGATGAGTGTACTCCCTCAGTGCCAAAATATTTGTTTCCGAGAATAATTTTGATTAAATATATATTAAAAAATATTAGTATTTATGGTACATAATTAGTATCATTAGAAAAATCTTTGAATTTAGTTTTTAAGTAAATTTATTTGAAGATATAAATATTGCACGTATTTCCTACAAATCGATTCAACCTTAGTGCACTCACATCAATAATGATAGTTATTTGGGGACAGATGGAGCGTGTGTTTCGGTCCCGTGGCACTGGCTGCCGAGCCTTTCTTCATTTCTAATGTCCCAGGTTCCTAGCTAGGGATGAAAACGGATCGAATACGAACGGATATCACTGATATTATATTTGTTTTCACATTTCTAGTCAGATTTGGATTCGAATACGGATAGTATCAGCCATGCCGGATAGGATAGATTAGATGTCGACATCATAAATATGTGATTTGAGTATTCGGATACGAATACGGTATCGGATGTTGAATATCCGGATTCGGATACGGATAGATCTAAACCTCTCTAAACGGATTCGGACTCAGAATACGGTCAGAAAATATCCGTACCGTTTTCGTTCCGCTCCCAGCTGCGTGCATTGCACAGCAGACGTAACTTGTCAAGTCAGCCGTGGTCTGCCAATGCAATCGCCAACTACTGACGTCAAGTCAGCCGTGTTGTGCCAATGCAATAATTGCCAACTACTGCCAAGGTGCTGAGTCCACATACGTGAAAATTGCCAACTACTGCCAAGGTGCTGAGTCCACATACGTGAAAATGGTACAAATTTTTTCTGACCCTATTCGAGACCGAGGTCCCGTTGACCGAGGTCTCGTTCGGCTGGTTGAAATTTGGTTGAAAATAACTGAAAAACACTGTTCTGGTTAAAATGTTGTGAGAGAAAAACACTGTTCCGATTAAAAAAAGAAGCTGAACAAACCAAATACAAGGTAAGCCGAACGGGGCCATCCGTTTAGAGGGGTTCAGATCTATATATGAGTTTGCATATTCAACATCCGATACCGTATCTGTATCTAAATACTCAAATCGCGTATTTATGATGTCGATATTCAATAGTGTCCTATCCGGCATGGTTGACACTATCCGTATTCGAATCCGAATCCGGACAGAAAGGTAGACTTTTACTCCTGGTTGGTGGCTCCAACCGGGACTAAAGGTCCCTGCCACCTCTGTCTGACGCAGTAGCCGTTGGGAGGGACCTTTAGTCCCGGTTGGACCAACCGGGACTAAAGGTCTCCCCTTTATATCCCGGCCGTCTCCTTCTTTCTCCCCGAACCCGAGCTCAGCATATTTTGAAGCTCACTGCACTAGTGTTCTTGCTTTCTCCCTCCATTCTTCGATTCCTCCGTCGATTTCTTCGATTTCTCCGTCGATTCTTCAGTTGTAAAGGTTACCAATCTCATACTCTCATTTTTCACCATTGTCTTATCTCATTTTGTTCACTATATATATATATGGTTCTTTATTGTGGTTTTTTTCATTTGTAAGCAATTTGAGCTCAAAATCACTTCAAGCTTGCATATTTACATGAATGAAGGTTAAAGTAGCTAGTTGAACTTGCGGACCGTGTTCATCTCGGCGAGTATATTCTCTGTCGAGCGGTAACGGATGTCAAAGAGGAGCTTTGATTCTACGAGGGAGGGTGGCAACGGTCGTGGAAGACCGTGTTCCCTTCCTCGTAGAATCGGAGCTCTTTCGTGGCCAAGTACGGTGCCGTCCGGTGGAGAAATGCTCGCCGAGATGATTACGTAAGCAAGGTCAACTAGTACGGATGGTTATTTATTCACACGTCCCGATATCGTCGCAGTAGTCTGTCAATCACCGTACCCAAACGTAGTATATATATAAATATAAACGATAATCGATTGTTATGTGTGTACACTCCCATTCTTCTGTTAATTTGCGGAAATATCATGTGAATTACTTACCTGCCGCAGTAAAAGACGAGAACACAATGACCATGGCGGACCATGGCCACGGCCATGAAAAATGCCAACGACACAACACTAGCAACTTTCTCGGCAAGCAGAGTAGTGTTAAACGCTCTGGAAACCTTTAAACTTCAAGCTTGCATATTTACATGAAGGAAGGTTAAAGTAGCTATTAAAAACTAGTATTCACTGTTCATTTATAGCATGCATAGCACACTTCATTGTTTAGAGATATAGAGAATTTTAGAGTTTTTTTAATTTTATTTGTTTATAAAATGAGAAATTTATAGTGTATTAAAAAATGAGTATAGAGAGTAGATGGCAACTGCTTCCGGGTCCTCGGCCTCTCATGGGTTTCCAAAGCGACTTAGGCCAGGCCTCCCACTCATTGCATGCGACAAGTGTTGTGATGAGACAAAGATTGTGATGGAGTACCAAGTGAAGAAGGAGGGTCCCAACAAGGGTCGTATTTTTTACAAGTGTTCGGATCGCAATGTGAGTTATTTTATCGTATTTAATGACTATGGTTAGTTTATACCTATTTTAATGATGGTTGTGATTAAAGTTCTAATTTTCTGTTTTAATTTCAGTGGGATGGCACTGAATATTCAGGCTTCTACTAGGATTGTGTGATTTAAAATATATGCGTGCATGCATGTAAATATATATATGATATATATATATATATATATATATATATATATATATATATATATATATATATATATATATATGCTTGGATTGTGTGATTTAATACTTTTATTGTGCTTGAACCGAAACATACTATATGCGCGTATAAATATATTATTAGCAGCGTACAATACGACTTCGAAAACCTATTTTGAAAGAAAAGAAAAAAATGAAAAGAAAAAAAAAAGAAAAAAAAACTTTAGTCCCAGTTCGTATTACCAACCAGGACTAAAGGGTGCCGGCCTCGTGCATGTCAGGAGGCACCTTTAGTCCCGGTTGGTGTTAACCACCAGAACTAAAGATCCCCTTTAGTCCCGGTTCCTAACCCGGGACTAAAGGATCCCTTTAATCCCGGATGCTTGCTCCCGAATGAAGAATTGGGACTAGAGGGGGTTTTCCACCGGGAGTAAAGGCCGTCTACCAGTGGTCTCCGTGGCCGGGGAGCTTGCATTGGTCATGAGATCAGCGCCGGCAAGTTGCCATCAAGAAGCCCCGCCCGCGATTCGAAAAAAAAAAAAGGCCCGCGTGTTCGTTCGTCCCTCCGAGCTGAATCTGAATGGACGAGCATTTCCGGCCGTTCAATCTCGTTCAAAACGGAAAAGAAACGACCACCACTGCAACCGACGACGGCTGATGCATGCAAAAACGTAACGGCCGGACCAAGCCAAACATGGCAATGGCATGCAAGCAGAAAAAAAAGATCTTTTGATTATGCGCGTTGGCTGCTGACAGGTGAAACTAACCGTACGTAGGAACCATCAACCATGACCGATAGCAGAGCAGGTGACAGAGAGGCAGGACGCCAGGACGCCGCCTCCATCTCTTCGTTTCGCAAGGCGGCGCCCCGATCGAGACAGATCGAGGGAGAAGTCAGTTGATCGTTACTGCTGGTGGCCTGATTTGGCACCGAGGGCCGTTCTCCCAGCGGCGGCATGGCGTTTGGCCCTGCGAATGGCGTGCGTATAAGATGGCGGCGGCAGTGCAAGCGAAGGGATTTGCCATCGTTGGCCGCGGCGCCGGGGCAGATATAAAAGCGTCTGCAGCTTCTCCTCCACTCGGATCCCTGGTATCTCCTCCGCCGTCCCGGTCCCCGCCGGCCTTCTCCTCCTCTCCGGCCGGGATCTCATAGCTAGTTTCATTTGTTGTTCATTCGTTGCATTGGCCTCTTAATTTGTTCTCAACTTCTGAAACAAACACTAGGAGCTGTAGGGGTGGCTGGTGAGCCTCTGCCCCTACGCCACCGACTGTATAAATCTTGGATTTGTAGGGGCGGTTCTTAGGCCGCTCCTACAAATTTGATTTGTAGATGTGACTGGTGACGCAATCATTTGGTTTGTTACATGTTCGACGTGCACGTCATATATCCCCTCCTGGATAATTGAAGGAAGTTTTTATATACATAGTCTTCATTCAGGATATTGTCTACGATAATATGCATAGTTTTCATAATTGACGAAATCAGTTAGTTGGAATATATACACTACTCTTTATGAATTCAGATAGTTTTCAGAATATACATTACTCTTTATGAATTCAGTTTTCATACGATGATACGAACTTGTGACAGGGAACCGGGATCTGAGGCCTAGACGAGGTTGGTCTGTAGACCCCATCATAAACCCCGGAAACCCTTTCGACAGATCCCTTTGGGCCGGAGCTCGAACGCGTCCGAGATCACCGGAGAGGATCGAAGACGAAGAGATGTCGTCGTCAGCCGAAGCCGAGAGCGCCGCCGCGGCTACCGAGAGGTTCCAGCGCCATGACTCCCTGTACGGCGACGCCGAGAAGGTCACCAACGGCAAGCACCACGGCTCCGGGGTCAGTTTAGTTTCACACATGGCATTACTGTTAGCTCATTTTCGTCATGCATGCACCTGTTCTTAGACTTAGACATTGATGGTACCATTGAACATTGATGCGTGCACCGTGCAGGATAGCTGGGTGCAGACGCTGATGCTGGCGTTCCAGAGCATCGGCGTGGTGTACGGCGACATCGGGACGTCGCCGCTGTACGTGTACTCGAGCACGTTCTCGGACGGCATCCGGCACCCTGACGACCTCCTCGGCGTCCTCTACACCCTCATCCTTATCCCCATGCTAAAGTACGTCTTCGTCGTCCTCCACGCCAACGACAACGGCGATGGTGAGCTAGCTAGCTTGAGTGCATGCTTCATTGACGACATTGATCTTACTTGCATTGACGATCTTCAACCGATCGAAGCAATGTATATAGTTGTGATGATCCATGCATATGAATCAACTCTGAAACTGCAGGTGGAACGTTTGCGCTCTACTCGCTGATATCGCGGTACGCCAAGATCAGGATGATCCCAGACCAGCAGAGCGAGGACGCAACGGTCTCCAATTACAGGGTGGAGGTGGCCAGCTCGCGGCTGCTGAGAACCTTGATGCCAGCAATCTCGGGTAATAGTCCCGGCCCGGGCCATGCATGCATTTGTGGATTTGAACAACGTTAATCTGCCGCTCATCTGATCATGATCTCGGGTTGTTGCAGTGCTCTCAGCGTTGAGATCGAAAAGATCATCTAGGGTTAGGTCTAGCGGGTTCTCTTTACCGTGAATGCGATATCGAGAGTAGAGAGACAGAGAGGAATATAAGAAGAACGTGTCGAACCTGACACCGCAGAGGGAGATGGTCCAGAAGCCGCCATCTCGTTCATCGGTAAAGTCTGCGCACGGGCAGCGACGTTCGGGGAAGAGGTCAATGAAGTCGTCGACGTCGGTGGAGCGAGGCAGCGCGACTGGTGGCTTTCCGTCACTGGCTGCGCCCCTCTCTGATCGGGATTAGGGTTTAGGTTTCGGTGGAGAGCTCGGCTCACGGTAAACCTCGTACTCAGAACCGCCGGCCCCCACCTCTATATATAGCGCGGTGTGACAGGGGCCCTCCAGCCATAGTGGGCTGGTCGCTCCCGATCAGGGTGCGGATCAAAGGCCCAACTGGGTCGTTGGACCCAGATTGGGAATCCCCCCTTGATCTCCTATCATCTTTTAATTTTATATCATTTACTTTTGTTCATTCCATTACAGATTAGCGCATAGAGCATGTTTTATCGTCACGGTCAATTACCGATAGATTTAACAACTACAACACACCACTCTATTCTGAAATAGATACTTAACTTTGGGCCTTCTTTTGTCCAGAAATTATAGGCTTTCCCTTAAACCCATGCCGGCTACATGTTCTCTGAACACGTTGGGTGGTAAGCCTTTTGTAAGCGGATCCGCGAGCATCTTTTCGGTACTTATATGCTCAAGACTTATGACATGATCCCGGACTTTATCTTTCACAACTTAATACTTTATGTCAATATGTTTGGCAGCACCACTTGATTTATTGTTGTGAGTATACTGTACTGCCGGATTATTATCGCAGTATAACTTAAGTGGTCTATAGATATCGTCAACCACCTTCAAACCGGGTATAAACTTCTTTAGCCAGTTCACCTGTCCCGTTGCCTCATAACACGCTACAAACTCGGCATACATTGTGGATGATGTAGTGACGATTTGCTTTGAGCTTTTCCATGAAATAGCTCCCCCTGCGAGAGTGAATACATATCCAGACGTGAATTTTCTATCATTTCCCGCATAATCAGAATTTGAATATCCCACTATAGGGAGTGAATCTGATCCTCTATACGTCATCATGAGGCTTTTCGTTCCTTGCAAATAATACAAGACTTTCTTTACTAATTTTCAGTGTTTTATTCTAGGATTGCTCTGGAATCTGCCAAGTAACCCGGTAACAAATGCCAGGGCGCGTACATACTTGAGTATATTGCAAGCTTCCGACAGCTGAAGCCTATGGAACCATTTTCATTTGATCGATCTCACACTGATTCCTAGGGCATTGAAAATCTCCATATCTGTCGTCCTTGACTATAGGAGCAGGTGAGGGACTACATTTGTGCATATTGAATTTGTTTAAGATCTTTTCTATGTATGTCTTTTGTGACAGTCCTAATACTCCTTTACTTCTATCTCGGTGAATCTCGATCCCTAGAACGAACGAAGCTTCACCAAGATCTTTCATATCAAATTTTGAGGACAAAAACTTCTTTGTCTCCAATAGTAGACTGACATCACTACTAGCAAGTAAGATATCATCCACATACATGACAAGGAAAATAAACTTCCTATTCTTAAACTTTACATAGACACAATTGTCCTCTACATTCTTTTTAAACCTAAAATTCCTTATTGTCTGATCAAACTTCAAGTACCACTGTCTTTAAGCTTGTTTTAATCCATAAATGGATTTCTTTATGCGGCATCCCATTCGTTCTTTTTCTTCCATGACATACAAGGATTCATTTATGAACGTAATAATATTCTCACCTTTCTTTGTCATGATCATCTTTAAGTAATCGGGATAATCTTTCTTATAATATCCCATCTTCTTACAATAGATACACTAGTCTTTCTCTACTGTGAACTTGTTCTGCTGATGCTGATACAGCATGTGACCCTTTCCCTTGGACTTTGAGGAGGAGTTAGCATTATTATTCTTTTTCTTGTTGTCTTTCACATAATTGATAGTGCAACCATTGGCAGCTTTCATTCTCTCATCCTCTTGCACACACATAGCCATGAGTCTCTCTAAGTCCTATTTCTCGGGCTGTATGTTGTAGTTGACAACAAAAGTGTCAAATTCCTTTGGCAAAGAAGCAAAAATCAGATAGATAAAGAACTCTTCCTTAAAAGCCAGATCCATTGGTTTTAGCTTGGATGCCAAATTTCTTATCCTTAGTATGTATTCTCTTATGCCACCATTTCTAGAGTACCTATCTGTCATCAGCTGCTTTATCAGCTGGGTAGCCTATGTCTTTGAAGAACTAGTGAACTGGCTCTTTATTCTATCAAGGTACTCGGTGACCGTGTCACACTCTGGGATTGAGCCCACAATTACAGGCTCAATCGTGTTCTTTATCATAGCCAAACATTTTTAGTTGGCAGTGACTCACTTCCTATGCTCAAGGTCATAGGACATCTTTTGGGATTCAAAATCCCTCTCTCTAGTTGCCCAACCGGTATCAGCCTTGTTTGTCTCCCTCACCGGTGCCACAGGCTCAGTGGGACACGGTGAGGTGACTACCCAGTCCAACTCAGCCAAGATAAAGGCCAGGTCAATCTTTTTCTTCCACTTCGTGTAGTTGTCATCTTTGAGAGTGAGGATCTCTTTGATACAACCAATCAAGTTGTATCCGCCTGAAAACACAATTCATAGAGTGAGAACATAAATAATAACAACAATTGCATGTCTTGATTCCAACGTTGATCAAAATTAAAACATACAACTGTTTATACATTACATCTACATCACCGTTGGACAGAAATAAAAATAATGTATAAAATCATTAAAATTACGATATTGTTATTAACAACGTTGGTCAGAAAATAACAACATCATAATCATGTCAAAATCTCTTTTTCTCCAATTAAATATCACGTTGGTTCAAAATAACTAGAGAATAAACAATTTCTTTAGCAGCGAAAAACGTAAAAAAAAATTATCTATTTTTTCAGAAGCATTTCTCTGTAATTTCTATTCTCTAAAAATTTATCCTGATGGTGCAAAATTTAATAGAGAATTAAAACAAAATTCATCAAATTCACTTCTGAAAAATAATAAAACAAAAATTACTCTTCTATTCATTTTGGCCCGACCGGTGGAGTGCGGCCCGCGTCCTAGCTGGCTGCACCAGCGCGCGGCCCAGCAGCACAGCGCAGTGCCCGGCCCAGCGGCGCAGCAGCAGCGCACAGCAAGTCCGCAGCAATGCGCGTGGCCCATTTGCGCAGCGCGGCCCAGCTCAGCGCGTGGTCCAGCAATGGCTCATGGCCAAGTCAGCACGCGGCTCGCTCCCCGCGCCCAGGCCGCAACCTGGGCCTAGGCCGGGAAAGCGGCCCATCTCGGCACCCCGCCGCGCCCCGCGACAATCTGAGCCATCCGACTCGATCCGACGGTCGTCCGTCCATCTCGCGCGAACAAAACGGCGACGACGGCCTCCCCCAAAACCCTAACCCCATTTTCCTTTCTCTTGCTTTCTCTGCCGTGCCGCACGCTGCACGGAGGCAGCCAAAGCGACCATCGGCGCCGGTGAGGAGGACGCCGCCGGTCCGGGGAGCCAAAGCTCGCCCCCGCATCGGGTCTCCTCCCTCCTCGCTTTCTCTTCCCCTCCTCCTATCTCTCTTGCGCCAAAACACAGAGAAGCAGCAGCTGGCTCCATGGTCGGACGGAGGAGGAGGTGGCGGTGCCACCGTGGGCCCCCTTGCCGGCGCGCGCGCTCCCCAGAGGGAGAGCGTGCCGCCGTTGAGCGGCCCCGTGTCGGCGCCCTAAGCCTGCGCGCGCACGTCGCGGTGACGAGCAGACGAGCAGCGGCTATGTTCTTTTCTTGCCGCGTGCCGGTGAAGACGGCGGTGCGGCACCTTTCCCCGCGCAGTGGCGGTGGTGACCGGCAGTTGAGTGACGTCCACCACCCCCTGGTCTCTTTTCATTTTCTTTTACCCGGTTAGGGTTAGAAATTTTGGATCAAAACTAGGGCTAGGGATTCAATTTCACTGTGTTTTTCGTTCACCCGATCTAGATCTAAAAGCCCTAGGAGACATGTCTCTGATACCATTATTGAGATCGAAAAGATCATCTAGGGTTAGGTCTAGCGGGTTCTCTTTACTGCGAATGCGATATCGAGAGTAGAGAGACAGAGAGGAATAGAAGAAGAACGTGTCGAACCTGATACCGTAGAGGGAAATGGTCCAGAAGCCGCCATCTCGTTCGTCGGTGAAGTCTGCGCACAGGCAGCGACGTTCGGAGAAGAGGTCAATGAAGTCGTCGACGTCGGTGGAGCGGGGCGGCGCGGCTGGTGGCTTCCCGTCACTAGTTGCGCCCCTCTCTGATCGGGATTAGGGTTTAGGTTTCGGTGGGGAGCTCGACTCACAGTAAACTTCGTACTCAGAGCCACCGACCCCCACCTCTATATATAGCGCAGTGTGACAGGGGCCCTCCAGCCATAGTGGGCTGGTCGCCCCCGATCAGGGCGCTGATCAAAGACCCAACTGGGCCGTTGAGCCCAGTTTGGAATTAGAGATCAATCTAACACTCTGCAGTGAGTGGGATCAGGGAGAAAGCGCCCAACTTGAGCCAAGGTATGTATGCTGCAACATTCAGGCATCAATAACGACTTGTTTTTTAAAAGTCTATGGTAGGGAGGCGTTCCTCACCAGATTTCATATATTGGCCCAAAACGGCCGTTATATAGTTTCACAAGGCATTTTGTAGCACAACCAAAGTTCACCAAAAGGGAGAAAAGACTACAACACGGCATAACTTTGGCACAACCAAAGTTCACCAAAAAGAGGTTTTGTGCCGAGGAGAAACTGCAATGCCCTGGCTGACCCTGAAGAGGAGGCAACAAGAGGTTCTTTAGCGATGCCTTCAAGAAGGAAGATGCGCTCGAAGGCGAACCTCATTGCTGGCCCAGCCAAGAGCTGAGCAGAGCTTTCGCCCAGAAACCTCGTCGTCGCGCTGTGGAGCCAGCACTCTTTGCCCTCCCTGACCAAGAGGCAGAGGGGGAGGGCAGTCGCGGACACGCAGCCCCGTCGCCGGCATGCCCGCGGCCAAACCGCGTGCACCGCGCACGTATGTGAAGAAGACCGCACCGCTGCCGAGAGGACAACATCAGCTCACGTGAAGAAAACTACACCATTGCCGAGAGGACAGTAGCGGCTACACCGAATCCGAGCACGAGCCGTCGGATCGAGCGAACAGGACGCCCAAGGCAACGCAGCGCCGCCAGCAAACTCGCGGCCAAACCGCACACCTAGGGCCCTGCACACGCACATGAAGAAGAGACACCACACCGCAGAGCAGCTCTAGAAGTACCTATGCAGGGGCTCCGCCGCTCGGAAGCACCGCAACAGGAAGGTCACGCCAGGGGGGTCTTGCACTAGCACATATCCGCGTCGGGTCGCGGAGCGCTATCCGCGTCGGGTCGCGGAGCGCCACGCTAGGGCTCCCACCGACCTGGGGTGGCCGACCACCGCCGAGCAGGCCTGGCACCATTGGGGCCTAGAAAACTACCTCGCCAGGGCTCCTCCGCTTGGGAGCACCACGACGAGACCAGCTGCCGCCACACCAACGCCCACGGGGGCTAGAGCCGTCCCGCCAGTGCTCCACCGCTCGCGAGCAGAGCGACGACGCCAGACGGCACAAGCACCGGCACAAGGCCGTGACATCCAGCCACCGTGCTCCCAGACCGCGTTCGCCGACAAGGGAGGGGTGCACGACGACCTGATTGCGTGGAGTTGGGCGGCCAGTTGTCGTCACACCCAGGAGGCCTAGGCTAGCAGATCCGGGGCCAGGGGGCCCGGATCCACCACGCTGCCGCTAGGAGGACGCCGGGGATGAAGGGGGGGCACGGCGACCAGACCATGTGGAGTCGGGCCGGCTGGCGTCGCACCCAGCAGATCCGGGGGCCCGGATCTGCCTCGCCGTCGCCGGAAGAACGCCGGAGATGAAGGTGGAAGAGAAGGAGAGGCAGAGGACTCGTGGGGGAGGAGGGAGACGCGGACGGAGATCCCGTTTTTAGGCCTGCCGCTGGCCTCCGCTGCCGCGCGCCGGAGGGCGGCGACTGAGGAGGTGGCTCAGGGGAGGGCGGCTAGCGGCCCCGGCGAGCGTCCCCGAGTCCCTTGGCAAGCTCAGGGGGAGCGACTCGAACTGCTCGACGACCTCTTGAGTCGATCTGCTTTTTCTTCATGGCACTAGATGGCTCGCTAACCTCTCAAGGGGCTCCTGTTGTCGTTTTTGCTACAGCGGAGGTGGTGTGGATCTCGGTGGCCATACTGTTCCTTCTCTTCTCGGTGCAGCGCTTCGGCACCGACAAGGTGGGCTACTCCTTCGCGCTCATCATATCTGTGTGGTTCGTCCTCATCGCCGGCACTGGGATGTACAACCTCGCCGTGCACGATGCCACCGTCCTCGGCGCCTTCAACCCCATGTACATTGTCGACTACTTCAGGAGGAACGGAAAGGAGGCATGGGTCTCGCTTGGGGGTGTCGTCCTCTGCATCACAGGCACGGAAGCCAAGTTTGCGGATCTCGGCCATTTTAACATCAGGGCCATTCAGGTACCATCAGCCATAGCTTTACTTTCAGTTCCTTCAGCATTTGACTCTTCAGCTGTCAGAACCGGAACATCTTGCTAATTGTTATACAACGCTGTTACGGCACCAAATTTTTGGTTTGCTCCCGCAGATCAGCTTCACATGCATCCTCTTCCCCTCGGTGGCGCTATGCTACATGGGCCAGGCGGCCTACCTGCGAAAATTCCCTGAAAACGTTGTCGACACCTTCTACAAGTCCATCCCAGGTAGGTGTCTTCTACTGTTTACGTAATCTGCACATGTATGTACTACATACATCGAATCGAAAGTTGGAAACTGAAGCCGAGAGCTAAAAAATGCAGCGCCCATGTTCTGGCCGGTGTTCCTGGCGGCCATCATCGCGAGCCAAGCCATGCTGTCGGGCGCGTTCGCCATAATGTCCAAGGCCCTGTCCCTGGGCTGCTTCCCACGGGTGGAGGTGGTGCACACCTCCAGCAAGTACGCGGGCCAGGTGTACCTCCCCGAGGTGAACTTCCTGATCGACGCCGCCAGCGTGGCCGTCACGCTGGGGTTCCAGACCACGGCCAACATCGGCAACGCGTACGGGATCTGCGTGGTGACCGTGTTCTCCATCACCACGCACCTGCTGGCGGTGGTGATGCTGCTGGTGTGGCGCGCGCACCCGGCGCTGTCCGCCACCTTCTACGCCGTCTTCGGCCTCGTCGAGTTCCTCTACCTCTCCTCCATCCTCTCCAAGTTCGCCGAGGGCGGGTACCTGCCCTTCTGCTTCTCGCTGGTGCTCATGGCGCTCATGGCGGCGTGGCACTACGTCCACGTCCTGCGCTACTGGTACGAGCTGGACCGCGCGGTGCCGGCGGCCGAGCTGGCGGCCGTGCTGGCGCGCCGCAACGTGCGCCGGGTGCCCGGCGTCGGCCTGCTCTACTCGGAGCTGGTCCAGGGGATCCCGCCCGTGTTCCCGCGCCTGGTGGACAAGATCCCCTCCGTGCACGCCGTCTTCGTCTTCGTGTCCATCAAGCACCTCCCTATCCCGCGGGTGGCGGCGCCGGAGCGCTTCATCTTTCGCCGCGTCGGCCCCGTGGACCACCGCGTGTTCCGCTGCGTGGTGAGGTACGGGTACACGGACCCGATGGAGGGGCACCGGGAGTTCGTCGCCTTCCTCCTGGACCGCCTCAAGACGTTCGTCCAGGAGGAGGCCGTCTTCGCCGCTAGCAGCGGTTCATCGGCGGTGGTGGCTGAGGAGGAGCAGCGGTTCATCGACGCGGAGGCGGAGCGCGGGGTGGTATACCTGATGGGGGAGGCCACGGTGACGGCAGCGGCGGGGTCGTCGCTGCTGAAACGGGTGGTGGTGAACAGCGTGTACGGCTTCCTACGGAAGAATCTCCGGGAGAGACACAAGGTGCTGTCCATCCTCAAGGACCAGCTGCTCAGGGTCGGCATCACCTACGAGATCTGACCTCACTCACTCCATCTCTTCTATTCTACGTAGTAGCAGGGCGTGTTTTCCTTTGTGCTACCTAGCTTTGTTCCAAGTTCCAACTTCCAATGGCGTGCCCAGCAATTGTAGAGAAGATTGTTCATTAATCTGTTGTGCACATGTATTTGCATGGATAGTTACTAGTAATAGTTGTCTCTGTTGCAAATTGCCAAGATCCATTCCATCTGTGATGCTGAAGCACCAGCAGCTGCCGGTTCAGACGTTGAGTACTCAGAGATCACAATATGATTCTGAAAAGGAAGAATATGCACTTGGACTCCTACAACTGTGTATTATGCTTACACAACACAGAAGAAACTTGTCGGCATCTTTTCCTACAGTGTCCATTTGCAAAGCAATGCTGGGAACTAATAAACATTGACATCCCACTGAATGAAACATTCCCAGAGCTCTCAGGTTATCTCAAAGACAGACTTCACTCACAATTCTTCATGTCAGCAGTAGTGCTCATTTGCTGGACAAGACTGTCAGGAATGACTTAATCTTCAAGGGCATTCAGCCATCAATAACACTGGCTAGAAGACTGTTTTCGTCAGAAATGCTCTTGCTCTTGCATAGAGTTAAGCCAAGCCTTGCTACTCAGTTTGATCAATGGATACAAACAATATTGTAATTCCTGATATGTTTTGTTTCTTTCTTTGTTTCTTGAAGCTGTGCCTGTAATCTTTAACTCTTTTTTTAATATATATCCTATCTGTAGGGGCCTCGGCCCCTCCAGTTTCCGAGAGAGAGAGAGAGAGAGAGAGAGAGAGAGAGAGAGAGAAAAGTGCGTGGGCAACACAAAAAATCACTGCATACGTACACAAACATGGCATACACGGGTACACGCACAGAGAGGCATTAGTCTGCCATGCCGTCCTTTACAGTCGTTGTCTTGCTGAAAGTGTAAATTTGCCTCTGTGTCCTTTCTCTTGTCTGTTAATATTCAGAAGGATCCAGGCCTGAGCTGAAACTGTAAATCCACAAGCTGCTGAACCAAGCAGGATGCAAGCATAGGGCAGTCCGGATAATGGCTTCGGCTTTGTTTGTACTGTATTCGATGTCACCAAACGAAGACAGTGCTGGCTTGGGCTCCTGTGTCGGAGGAAGAAACGCAGGCACGATCATCTTGCTCCAGAGTGACTGATGGCCAGACCCAGCACACTTCCTGATGATTTGTTATGCACAGTTCCAATTCCAACGGATGTCGGACTATCAGGCAATGGGCTAATGGCACAGTGATGAGCACAGAAGCACCATCTATACTTTTGGGGTTTTAATTTGGCAATAACAACCCACTGGATAAATCCTGCTGACAACTTAACATCTGAAAGCTAGGCCAAGTTAACAGAGAGGTCATAAGGCAAAATCCTAACAATTAGTATATCATCAAACGTACAGCAGATTGATCAAACAAAGGCCATGTCTAGGACTTGAAGGAAGGATGATGCTATTCACCGTGACATATGGCCAGATGCCAAACCGCCGAACGGTCCATTTGACATACACTTTAGCCTCTTGTGGTAACACAGCTTGTGCATTGTAGAACTCTTCAAACCTCCCGGCCAGCTCCATGCAGCAGGAAACTCCAAATACTAAAACAGCAAGGGAAGATCTCACAGTTGCACCGAAGAGAGGAGAGGAGCTTGATCGTTGATGCCATTATACCACGGCAAGGCCGGATACAAAAACTGCGGCCTATGTTTGTTTCTTCTCCCGGCCGGATCTCACCGTTGGCATGCATTGCATCCCCCTTGTACCGACAAAACCGTCTCCTGCCTGCTCTTCACACAGATCGCCTCCATTTTATTCCCCCGTCTGATTGCGACACCAATTGACCACCCAGACGATCCGTCTTGACGCTGACAGGCTAGTTTAATCCCCAGGGTGAAACATGACATGCATTACAGCTTCTCCTGTCGATGATTGCAAAGCGCGCACAGATTTCTACACTCTGTAAAAAATCAGCAGCAGCAGCAGAAATTACCGTCTGCAGATCACAGTATCATAAATCTTTCTATCAAAATAGTAAGAGTGGCACACCAGGCAGGCAGGCATAACATAACAGTAAAGGGAGTGCGACGAAATGAGTATACAGTAGCTCAATTCAGACTAGTTCTCTTCTGTTCCTGTGGAGCTTTGCTTAGCAAACGTCAGGTTGAGGATATTGACAAATCCTTTAGAAATAATAAATGGAACATTCGTTCTGATGAGACAATCAGAGTCGCATTCCATGGGTTATTAAACAATATATAGTGCTAGCATCATTGCAGTGGTGATGCTGACTGAAAGTTCATCAACCATTTTCCTATTCTCTAATTGTGGCCCCTTCGTTCCGTTGTGCATAAATCACCACCCCCCTTCACCTTGCTGGCACCCTCTGCATCCAGTATCTGAACCTCCAAGTAATGTCACACACGTCGGAAGAAGAATCCCTCAACAACTTCCAGCAGCAGGCAAAGCTAGAAGCTTGCCCTGCTGGGTCAAGCAAAGCTGACACAGAAATGCCTGTAGTGAAAAAGAGACGAGGCCATCCAGGAATTCTAGGTATGATGCTTCAACTTAATTTTCAACTAGCACACACTTGGTTTCAATAAACAATAGGTCCATGCCGGATTTTTTTTCCCAATCAAGATGGCAGAAACACACGTGCAAGTGCAATGTAATTAACTCAACTCAATGTTTAAAACAATTAATGGTCTTTGTTCTTAGTTACAAACTTATGAGAAACCAAATAAAGAAAGATGTAGTGACGGTAATACAAATTTCTGAATCTCATTGGAGACTCTATATTGACCTACCCTTCTGCGCATGAGAATCCAGGTATACAAGAGAAGTGTTCTTGTGCAGTGTTGTTTTGGCTTTTTACTCAGGAGCTCATGATATCTTGTTTTACCTAATTACCTTATATTATAGTTTTCATCGTGGCATTTTTTTTCTTGTTTGGCCATTAGTATCAGCTCTATGCCTACCTCCACAAAGCATATTTTTACTTTGTTCAGACTCCTTCCCACCAAGATTTGAGATACATAGATGGAACTAAAAGATTCTGAATAGATAGATAATCATTATAATAAATCGAGTGTTGCAATTTAAAGCACTCATTCCTAAGTAGCAAAGATAACCAGATTGTTCTACAGGACTATGTATGAAAACGGACCGAAACAGGCGGAAAAACCCTCTTCCTGTTTCTGTTTCTATATTTTGGCACCGGACCGGGATCGGAATAGTTGGGAACGGGTACGGAATCGGAATATACTGGTTATATGGAAACGAACAAGTACGGATGGAAACGCAACGGAAACGGGCGGAAATGGGACACTTAAGCCGGAATCACGATTATTTATTGAGTATATTACATTCTATAATCAGCTTGCAGCAACACCAACGCAAATATAAAATCATCATTCTCATTCATCAATCGTGCTCTTGTGCAAGTGCAAGTGTGCTGTGTTCAAATGCATGCACTGCTGCACTTACGTGTGCCTGTATGAGTTGTTAATGCTCACAGGGAAGCAAAAGGCAAGTAGCACTTCAGGAATGCATGGAGCAGGCCGTACACCCGCGTGCACACATCACCAGTATGCCTCTACAGCTTGAACATAGCAACGACAGGCTAGCAGCCAGCAGCAAAACACACTTGGGCCTTGTTTAGATACCCTCAAAATTCCAAGTTTTTTCACTCTTTCTCCATCACATCAATTTTTAGCCGTTTACATGGAGCATTAAATATAGATAAAAAAAATAACTAATTGCACAGTTTAGTTGGAA